ATATTTATTCACCCAAACCATATTTGGTATCAATGTTATACCTAACAAGAGCCCCGGGTGACACTAGGCCTGAGCAGGGCAAAGGGCTCCCCCGCCAGAAGGCCTGGATCAAGAGGGGATGCCCGGGCCGCCCTCTGCCTCCGCCGCTTCCCCCTTTTCTGGCCCTTCCGCAGTGCTCCCCCTCCTGGGTGGCTCTCTTTATTTATCTTCCCGGCAGGAGATCCCTCAGCCCCACCCTGGAAGGTCCAGCTGAACTGGGGTCCTCCCCGGATCTCTGCCTCCCCAGAGACACACACACACACAGACACACCCACATGTCAAGACCACCCCCACGGAGGGAAGACCCCCGGGGGCTCGCTTCCTGAAGCCCTGCCGCCCCTCCTCCCCTCAGGGCTGAGCCCGGCCTTTGACTCCCTTCTGGGCTCCATCCCCATTTTCAAGGGAGAACTTCTCCTTTCCTGCCGTTCTTTATTCTGGGGCAACGTGACTCATCCATCTGCCACAAAGGGGAAGCCAAGGCCCAGCTGAGCTTCATTTGCAAGGGAGGGAGAGCGCCTTGCTCCCCCCCCCCCCCCCGGGTCTCAGACCCACCTCACAGCCCGAGGGTCCCAGAGGAGTCTCCTGGGCTATAGGGCCGGCCAAGGGCAGGGGACAGGTAGGAGGGGCGGCTTTCTGGCCACTGAATGACACATCGACTGGGGACTGACCCCCTCCACTTGGATGGGGCTTGGAGATGCCTCCAGAGGCAGGCAGCCAATCTGGGGATTCCCATGCGCCCCCAACCCTCCCACCCCTTTCAGGAAAGCCTTTTACTCCACACATTTCACTCTGCCAGTCCAGGAAGACTCCCTTACTCCAACACCCTCCCTCTTCATTCGCCTGTGGACTTTAAAGTCTAATTAGGCCTCTCTCTTCTGTTCCAGAGGATTTATTCTCAGTTTTATTGTTTACAACCCTTTTCAATATTTAGACTGATTACATACATTTGTTGCCCCAGATAACCATAAGATGTTTTAAAAGCTGTTGGGGGCCGTGACCTGGCCTGTGGTGGCCAGCAGGGTCTCTTTCCCACCCTCTCTCCCAGCAGAAGCAGTCCAAGTGAGGTCCTCCGTCAACCCGCAGCCCCCAGGCATCCTGCTGCAGCTGCCGCAAAGTCCAGGACAGCCCCAGAGTTGAATCAAGGGGGCCGGGCGGCTGACCCATGGCCTCTCACCATGGGTTTCTGGATAGCGGTTCAGGGTCTTATTGTTGGACTGTGATGATGCAGTTCACTTGCTCCTGAACAATCCCAATTCAGCCACAAACCCTCCGTGCTGGGGGAGGAATGGCAGGGAGGGGAGACAGGAACAAGCCAGGGGCCAAGGCCAGTCAGGGGACAACAACCAGCAACTCAGCCCAGGCCACAAGCAATTTCAAATCAAAGAGAGGATGTCCCAATTAACTCCCTATAAATCAAGGCAGGAAACTTCTGTCAGTTTCCACCGTTGTGAATATACACGCCAGACAAACCCTTGGCGGTATCTGGCCATACTCGCTCGCTTGCTGGAGCTCCTGCAGCTGTGCGGGACTCCCCCTCCCTCTTGCAAACTGGACAGAGGAGCTCAGCCCCTGAGGCAGGGGCAGCCTAGACAGGAAGGGGAAGCGGGCAAAAATCTCGACCATGGCCGCCTCTCAGATGAAACGGAGTAAAGTGGGATGGGCGATTCCACCCCTGGAGGATTTGCCTACCCGAGAGGAGTCTATAAGGATCCACGCTGGAGGAGGAGGAGGAGGCACCAGCAGCCTCGCAGGCCTCTGTCCTGGCCCAGGTGCTCTTTTGACAGGTTGATACGTGGGAGACAAAACCCGGACTTCCCTGGCATCCCTACTGACTTCTCGGTCTCTTGACCAGGACTGACACCTCCTCTCCCCAGGATCACTCAGCTGAGCGCAGGGCAGCCCCTGGAACAGCCCCACCCACAGCAGTGAAGCCTCTCTGGACCAACTCGGGGGGGGAGGGGGGGCAGAATGAAGGAAGAAGCTGCCTGCATTTCTGAATGCGTTCCACTCTCTCCAGAGCAGCATGTCAGGTGTCACAGCAGGGCAGAACTATCGCCAGTCTCTTCTAAGCTTCCTAGAGTCTAAGGGTGGATTTTTTGGCAGTACGACTGGCACCGCTGCCAGCTCGCCTCCTTCTTGGCAGGTCTGAATGGTGGGACATAAAAGCCCTGCCACCCGAGGGCAAGGACAGCTTATCCAAGACTTGTGAGTATCATGGAAAGGAGAAGTGGGGGGGAAAGTCCCTTGGAAGCTGCACTTCCCATGGGCCTGGGCGGAAGCCTCTGTCTGTCTGTCTGTCTGTCTGCATCTACCTCCAATCCTCAGACCTCCAGCTGGCCTGCAGGAAGCCCAGGGGAGACCAAGAGTACCCAGAACAGAAAAGACAAAGCTCAGCATAAAAGGACAAGACGAATGGCACGGCATGCCCCTCCTCTCCCCCTGGGGTCCTCCTCACACCTTTCTCCTGCACACAGGAGCAGCGACCCCCAGGGGGCAGAGCAGCTGCTGGAGGGCAGATCTCACAAGACGGAGGGGGGCATCATCCATGGGCAGAAGACAGCAGACGTTACTCAGTGTCTCCACCCTGGATTGGCTTGGAATCTGAGCTTCTTCAGCATTGCCCAGTACGTATCGAATCTGTCCACCGAGAATGTGCTGACTAAGAAGGTATGTGGAGGGTCCCCACGTATGGAGAAAGTCAATGAATGGCAATTTGGAAACGAGAATTCCTTGGATTGGCTGCCCTCCACGCATGGGCCTCATGGGATTCAATGGCATTGCGTAGTACATTTGTGTTAACTGCTGCTTTGCTGTTGCTGCTTTACTATAAGTACCAAAGAAATGACCCAACTGAACTATAATTATGGTCATCGATAAACCAAGCACCTTCTACCCATTGTTTAACTGGAAGGGCACCAGATTTTACAGAGGAAGAACTTTGTTTGCAAATATTTCCCACAAATGGCACTCCGGATTGAACAGCAATACGAAGGCAAGCTATGTCAAGAATAGGATGCATGGGCCACATCCAATTCTAAACGAGGTATGGAAGGTTCTGCCCTCTGACCATAAGCAGAGTACCGGTACTGCCAGCATGCAACTTGCTAGAAAGGGGTTCCTATCTGTCTATCTAATCTATCTATCTCATGGCAAAGAGGATTGCCAAGCTGGCCAGCTATTTTGTGATGCTACATCTTTTCCAAAAGAGGATTCACAACCGATGAGCGCCAAAGGGAGCGGCTGAGCCTAGCAAATAGCTCATCCCTTTGCATACAGAGGCTTCAAGGCCCACAATTAGAGAGTCACAAAACTGAAAGAAAAGCGAAGGTGGGCGGCGTACCCGGTTGGGCTCATTGCCTCCAGCGGGCGAGGAGGGGACCCCCTCGACTCGGTCCCAGAGCACCCCGAAAGGACCTTTCAAGGGGGGGGGGGCGCCGGAGCCAGGTTTGCTCACCTTGTCCAGCTTCACCTCCAGCTCCGAGACGTCTCCTTCCACATCTTCTAGGGCAGCCCTGCAAGAAATTTAGAAATTTTAGAAATTTAGAATTCTTTAGAAAGGCCCTCCCTTCACAAGGGCACCAGGCCCAATTCTGCCCTTCTGCTTCTTAGCGAAGGGCGTTCAGAGGCAAAGGAGCCGCCGGGGCTTCAGCAGCGGCTTCTGGTCTCCGTTACTCGGGAACCAGACAGTTATCGCTCAAACCGGAGAGAGGAAAGAAAGAGGCTCCCTGGGGACGAGGGAGGCCCGTTTTCCCAGCTGGAAAAGGCAGGCACGCGAAGCAGGAGCCCTCGGGGGGACTCGCGCCTCCTTCCCCCCACCGCCCCCCACCTTTGGAGAGGCCCCAATTTCGGGGCGGGGGGGGGGGCATCGGAGAGAGGCCGAGGCGCTCGGAGCCTTTGGGGCCTTGGCGGCTGACCCTTTGCCCGCTTTGGGTCCCAGACGGGGCGACCCCGAAGCAGCGACGTCTCCTACGGAAGAAAGCGGGCCAATCGGCACCCCGTGGCCCGGGCCGCCCCGCCGAGAAACCTGGGGACGCCGAGGCTCCTCCGGTCGCGTCGCACAGTGGGAAGCGCCTCCCTCGACCCGAGCGGCCCCGCCGCCGCCGCCGCCGCCGCCCCCCCTTCTCCAGCCTCGGCGCGGGACGGGACACGGGGGGGGGGGGGAGGCTGTCCCCAGAGGAGGCGCGAGCGGCGGCGGTGTCGCCAAGCGAGAAGCGACCCGGGCAGGGAAGGCGCCTACCGGAAGCGGGGCGAGTCCTTCAGGCATTCCTCGAAGTCAACCGTCACCCGCATCCCGAACGGCCGCGTCCTCGCTTCCGGCTTCACCGGGCTGGATGCGGGGCGGCAGAGGCTGCCCCGCCCACCGAGGGCGGACACTTCCCGAGAGCCAATCCGGGCCGCTGAGCCGAGGGCTTTTGCACGCCGCCCTCTCAAGCCGTGACGGGCGTCGCAGAGATCCAACCGCGCGCCAGCCCCCAGCCCTCTGCGCCAATCCCGGGCGGCTTAGAGACGACTGCCCAATGAGCTTTGTCCAAAGCGCCGCCAATCCACGAGGAGCGTGGTCAACGGCGGAGGCGGGGCCAGCAGCTGGGACTTCAATTCCCGTCGGTACCGTCGCCGCCTCCTCCCTCGCAGCTGCGCGTAGTCGGCTGCGGTTCAGGCGCACTAGCCCTTTGGGCTCCAGCGGCCGGGGGCGGCGGCGGCATCTCCCCATTCCCGCGGCCCGAACACCGGAAGGGGAGAGTTCGCCCAGGCTGGGCGCCAGGTTGCAGCTCCTCTCTGCTGGGGCGCCTGTAAAGGACGCCAAGCGGACGGGCAGCTCGGTGGACCCAAGCTCAGGGCTGCAGCTCTCCGGCCCCTTGAGACCTTAGGCGCCCCGCCCCCCACCCCAAGACGATTCCACCCCCACCCCGGCCCCTTTTTCTTCGTTTGCTTCTCTTGCACGTTTTAATGGCCGAGTTAACTTTTTAGTGTCTCAACGGAGCCCTTTTATTGTCAGAAGGGTCGACATACGCCATTACAGCAGCTCAGAGTTGCTTGGCAGCAAATTTAATAAGCTAAATCCAGTCCCCCCACCCCCGAAACCTCCGCTTCCTCCTCACAAAGGGACCCGCTTCTGCCAGGAGTGCTGGGGGGGGGGGACGGTTAGGGTAATGGGGAGAAGAGCCTCCAGGTTCCCCCAGACCTCCACCACAATTGGCCACCGGCCAGGTCTACCCTGGTGGCCTCCGTTCAGGCCCAGGCACCAGACCAAAGTCCGGCTCCAGGAATACGGTTCATTGGGGCCGAGTATCAGAACAAGGTTACCATATGGGGATTCTGTCACTATTTCGGTCAAGTTGCCTGCCCCAAGGAGGAGATACTCGATCAGCTTGTTGCAAAATACACTTGGTGGTTTCTTTACTTCAATAAAACAGTTACATGGAGGAAACAAGCCAGTGAAATGGAACCCAGAAGTGGAGGAGCAAACTCAGTAGCACAACCTGGGTGTTTTCTAGGCAACTTCAGCTCGTCAGAACATTCCAAATCATTTTACAGACATTAGCTGACCCACAGATGCCCCTCCCTCTTCCAAGGCGTAAGAAAATCAGGAAGGCCAAACTACAAAACAGCTGTTTGATTCAGTTTCATTCATGACACGGGGAGGGTGGAGAGGTTACCGAAGAGAGACCACAGGGCAAGAGAGGGCTGTGGGAATGCTGCCTCTTCTAGCTAAGCAGCAAAAGCAGGTGGCTGTGCACTCTCTCTGTGCCACCACACCAGAGTCTCCTCGGAGGAGGATCTCTGCCTGCCAGTTGCTACCATCAACTGGGACTGCTGGAGAATGCCGCCCTCAGAAATTCTTTCCGGTAATTGGTGTCTCTCCACACATCCATAGATCCATGGATCTATGTATGAGCAGAAGGCCAGTTAGGCTGTTCCATAGGCTCCGCCAGAGAGAGAAGGAAAGCCAACAGGCAGCACGGGGATGGGGGTGTTGAACCTGCTTTTATTTTCTAGAGGCGGGCAGACCCTTCGACCACGGGGGAAGGCACCCTGAGAAGCAGAGGGCCTGATGGAGGAGCCCCTGTGCAATGCTCCCAATCCCGGCCCGCTCAAATGGGAAAAAAAGCTACAGCGGCTACCTAGACGGGTTGATCGTCTCCCGCTTTGGAACACTGCAGCTGGGAATGCCGTCCAACTGCTTTTTCCCTTTCGGCAGGCCGCCGAGGCAAGAACTGCCTGCCTCAGAACCAGCTAGATACAAACTCTGCGGGAGGGGAAGGGGGAACTCTTCCATTAACCCCTTTTGCAAAAGGCCTCTTCGGGGGCCAAGGGGCATCATTCTTTTTCCTAGCTGCAGTACAGCGCATTCACATCAAGCCCTTACGGGGACATTTGTGTGTAACTCAAATACTACAGCATGACAAAAGAGAAAACAAAGTGTCCAGGTATTCTGCAGGTTCAAACCAGAGAAAGGAGTGACACCGATGGGCCTGGCTCACTGGCGCTGCCCCACGCTGTGTCCTTCAGCAGATGAACAGCGAAACCATCTTCTGTGACCACTAGAACCAGCCACATCAGCAACATTTTCATTGCCAAACAGAAAACCTTGAGATCACCACCATTTTCGTCAAATACCAAAGTGCAAGCCAACCTGTTGAAACAGACCTGCAGAAGGGTGATGCGGCAAGGAACACAAAAGGGTGGCTTTAGAAGCTGTTACAGTCCTGAGCAGACTTCTTCCAGGCTGTGTGCAACGTTCTCACACGGGTCGCTAGGAGCAGTTACTGTGGGGAAAAAAGAGACGGGGATGGTCACAGCAGGCAGCCCAGGGCATCCCAGCGGCGGGGCAGGTATTGGTCATCTATGGAGCAGACCAAGGGGCTCCTCGCTGACGGCATGGGACCCTGCTGGGCTTTGGAAAAAATACAACACATTAGGTTTCAACGGCACATTCCTAGGTTTTGGATCCTTAATACTTGCTGTGGAAATCAACACTTCCATAGACTTCTCAGTCCTTCATGTGCCAATTCCTGAAATGAGTATCTGGTTTTCTGAGAGCAAACTTAGCATCCCTAAGGGGCCCGTCCTGCCCTTCACAACCATATCACTACTTGAGACTTTCAGTGGGGGTTAAAATGGCCTCCTTCCCAGTGCCAAAACCTGTCTTTTGGACATGGCTGTAGGGGATTAAAAGATTTGCTATTGCCTGACTGCAGCATCTACCTCTAAACTGCTACTCCGGACAACCCTAAACGGCAGAAAACGTACAACCCACCACCACCACCGTCTGCTGTTGCCATCCTGACCCCTCCCCCCCTCCCATGGACTAGGCCTACACACGAGGCTCTGCTTTGATTTACTGACTATCCTGAAGTGCAAAGGAGGCCCGGCTCCTGCAGGCAGAGCAAAGGAGACGAAGGACAGCTCCGCTTTAGTACTTTACTTGAATGTTTTTTTAATCCCAAAATTCAAGATATCCATCCAGGTATGCTGTGCTGTAAGCAGAGAGCGCCAATTCCATTTACTAACCAATTACACGTGGATTGTTTCTCTTTTGTGGCCTGTCACCTAGGGATTTCTCCAGTGATCACTCCAAGGGAAAGGAGGGCAAGTGCTTTGATCCCAACAGAGAAAAGGGCTTTTAAAAGCCTTCCCGGAGGCTCACTGGACCTTGTTGTATCCTGGGCTCTCTTTCCAGAAGTGTTCAGAGGAGAGCAGAGGCCGAGGGGCCTTGCCCGACTCTCGCCAGGAGTTTAAAGAGCAGAAGTCTCTGACGTCCAGAGAGGCGGGACGGGACCACAAACTTTGGACTAATCAGTCGCTGGCAAGAGGCCGCAGGTGGACAGGGGTTCTCCTCCTGACCCTGAAACCTGGAGAAAGAAGAACTCTGCAGCGAGAGAGGCGGAGGAGGAGAAAATAAGAAAACCCTCTGGATGTTGTTTAGCTGCAGCTCTCACAAGCTGCACTGCTGTGGCCAGTGGTGAGGCGGGATTGGAGCTGTGGCCGTAGGGGGCTTCTTCTAGCTAGACTGAGTGGTTGTTGGTTTTAGGTGCCCCTGGGTTCAGTTCTCTGCCGTCTTTAATTCTGGACGGGGTACTGCTACTCTAAACAACCTAGGAGTTCTCCTGGACTCGTGGCTGGAACAGGTGGCAGCCACGGCTGGGAGGGGTGGCGGGGGGCTTAGGACATCCTTCATGCCCCAATTCTCTCTTTCCTGGGTGGGTGGTCTCTGCTGCCTAGGTCCTCTCCAGAGGGGTTTCTTGTATTTCACATGAGGCTACCCTTGAAGAGCAGCTGGAGGCTTTAGCTGGATCAGCCCAGGTGGGCAGTTGGGCGTGCGCCTCGGTATGCCCATGCTGCCTACCCTCGGTGAGCTGCACTGACTCCCCGGGGGCTTAAGAAGGCAATCCATGATGCTTGTTGCCACGAGCAAAGCCCTTCGCAGCACAGGGTGGGTAATTAACCGGTTTCTACCTGCCCCTCCATTCCCAACATAGGGGCATCCTCCAGGTTCTGGGGAGTATCATCAGGTAGGCCTGAAGAGGCAGGCCCTTTCCTTCAAAATCCATCTCTGCTGCCGTTTTGGAAAGTCTCCATCACACAGCTGTTTTCCTGCGAGGCTAATGGAGCCTGGGGGAGATGGAGATGGTCTGTAAAGGCCACTGACTTTGGCTGCTGCCAAGTGTGTACTCGTTACTAGGGCTATTGATTGGTTTCACTGATTCCATGCTAGTCAGCCAGGGTTGCCATTTCAAGACAGCGCCATACCGTTTTACTGAAATAGTTGGGCAACTTTTGGAGGGTCCCTGATAAGCTGGAGCCCAAAGACGCCCAAAGAAAACCTCTAGTCCCTTCTCCACTCTTAGATGAAGCGTAAAGCAAAGATCTCCTCCAAAACCAGCATGGCCAAGACTGATTAGAAATGTTCCAGCAGGACATCAGAGTGCTAAGATTTATGAGAAGTTCAGTACTTTGGATTTTGAGTTACATTTTTCTAGACTTGTTAGAGCAGCTGAATTCTATGATACATCTGGGGCAGACAGACAGCCATATTAAACATTTAAACACCTGTAAAAGACAGAAAACCCGAGAAGCCATTTCTGGCAGACTCGTAACAAAGCCTAGGTCACCTGAGAAAATTGAGTTATTGATCAGAAAAAGCCCACCGAGAGACAAAATGGAAGGCTGCTAGCAAAAGAATAAGTAAAACTGGGTCTTTCTGTCCCTTCTGAAGAGGCAGGCCTTGGTCCCCACTTCTACCGAGAAGCAAGAGGAAGGAGGAAGATCCCAGCCTTTCCCTATTGGTTACTCAGACCGAGTGCCCCCCCCCCCCAAAAAAAACCCCTCTATCTTGGCTTCCTCACAGGCGCAGGCTAGGATTGCCCGCTGCCCAGAGGAGGTTATCTTCCCTCGGCTTCCTTCGCAAAGAAAAGCGAGGGCTGCCCCGCTCTCCTCTTGCTCCCTGCCTGCTATCTGTGAGGCTATTTTTCCTTACACCTTTGTGATTCAAGAAGGCTTCCCAACTCCAAATGAGAAGTTTGGCTGATCAGACTGTGGGTGCCAATTTATGCAACTAGAGGTGGGCGACATTGGACCCCCAGGTTTTCTTTTGAATTCCTCCGGCATTCACCATTCTTGGAACTTCAAAGAGAAGAAGCGATCAATTTATTCAGGCGAAGAACAGCCCAGCCAAGAGAGTGTCTCAGGGGAGAAAGCTCTTTCCCTCTCTCCAGAATGAACTCCCTGGGGGGAAGGGAGGCCCCTCCCCGGGAGATGCCAACAGGCTCAAAGGAAGCTGATGCAGAAGGAGACACTCTGCTTCTGGCATGCTGCTGCATCTGGAATGCAAATACAAAGGGGAAGGCGCATTCAGAAGGCAAAGCCCGCCAGCAGCCTCTGGCTAACGGTTCGTCCGCACCACCTCACAGCGCTTCCTGGCACAAACGGAAGCTTTCCTTGCAAACTGAGAGATGGCAAGAAGGCGGGAAAACCAGAAGACCTAACCGTCTGCCTTGCCCTCCACTGTTCCCTCTCCAACTCGAGGAGGAGGTTCCCCCAGAAGGGACAAAGGCCATTGGAAAGAGATGGGACGTGCCAGCAAGCAGACATCAAACCAAGGCTTCCAGCACTTCTGGCACAAACCGAGAGGCTCTTCCACACTGCACAGAACCTGGACACGTGGCAAGAGGCTTCAGGGCGGCAGCGGCAGGAGTGGCCAGTACAAACCTCCAAGAGAAAAGGACTTTCCCCGTGAGTCCCAGGACTCACCTGGTTCTGTACTTGTTTTACACTCATCCTGCATCTCCTCCTCATCGTCCTCCTCACAATCCTCCTCCTCCTCCTCCTCCTCACAATCCTCCTCCTCCGCAGCAGCAGCCTCGCCGTGCATTTCCTTTGCGATCAGCTGCCTGGCCAGCTTGATGTTCTGCGCTTCGTTGTAATGCATTTTCCTCTTCATTTCAAACTGCCTCTTTTTCTCTGTACGAGGAGAAGCAGAATACACAACATAACATGGCACCAGCCACAAATTTCACAAGTTTCATTCCATTTTACATGCATGAAGTTCTGTAAATTGAAAACCAGTGCAATCAGATTAATTGGAGGGGGGGAGATCCTCTGCTAAGTCACCCCCACTTCACACAACACGTTGCAGGAATGACTACTAGCGAGGTTACATACAACGGTTGTCTGCTTTTGGGTGCCTGCCTTTTCTCCCACCTGAAAAGCTACCGGGGGTGGGGCGGGAGGTAGAGGGAGCAGGAAGAGCCCTTCATCAAATCAAAAAAACAACCTGTCTCTCTCAGCCCTTGCTGACGTATGCAAAGGCCAAACAGACCAGTTGTCTTGGCAACACTGATATAGAGCCTCCAGAAGAAGAAAATACCTCAGACCGGTACAGAAGGCGGAGGAGAGCCAGTCTAGTTGCTCTGACCTGTCCGTGTTGCTCTGCATATGCAAGAATCACAGAGCCTTTTGTTTTGAGAAAAAAGAGAAGCTCCACCTGCGCTCTCCTTCCCTCCCCTGCAGCGACCAAGGCAGGGGACACGAGAGCAGGGACCAGGCACAACCACCGCAGGTGGGAAGGCACAGGAGAAGGCAGGTCAAGGCCAGAAAGAGGGCCTGCCGTATTCTCAAGACTCTGGTCGAGTCCAATGGGCCATTTCTCTGGCTACACAATCTGCTCCAGCCCTTCCTTCCCAGGGGGAGCTCTTGCTCACGGCCTCACAGCCTTGGTCTTGTGCAGGGATGGGCACCTGAGAAACTGGGACTTTGTGGAGGGCCGCCAACACTGCACCCCCTGCTGCTGCTGCTGCTTCCCCCTTCACCCCACCCCAGTTGGACTGGGACCACCTATGGGGTGGATGTGGCCCATGGCCATGAAATGCCCGGGTCTGGTCTAGCGCTATAAAATCTCAAAGCCACACCTACCCAATTCTTCTGGAGTTAAGTCTACCTCATCCTCCTCCTCCTCGTCACTGCTGTCATCCTGCCTTGCCAGGATTTTGGGGCCCTGCCCTTGTGCTGCAGCTGCCAACCTGCAGAGAGAAAATGGGAGAGCAGAGGAGGATGGGAACAGGGGTCTCCTGTCAGATACGGCCAATGAGGGTACAATGAAATGAGTGGTGTGGTTCCTTCAAACAGGAAAAGCCACAAAGATAAGCAAATGCCATTCACCCACCACAAGGAGTTCACTGCCATGTATTTAGTAATGTGCTAACTCTGGAGAAGAGCCCCCGGACAAGGAGCCCTGAAGCCCCTCTGGCAGCTGAGCTGACGGCGAACCCACTCAAAGGGGTTCAGTTCCGCCCCGCCGTTCCCAGGCATGCTCCAGTCTTACGAGTCAAAATAGGAAGCCACTTTGGAATTAAAAAATTAAAAAACCTTATGCATTTTCGGGGGTTTAGCATGAATAATATCGAGAAGTGCTGGTCACACAAACAGCATTGTACATTGGATTTAATTTGTTCAAAATTAGAAAGTGCTCATTGCTTGTCAGATATGAAATCCTGTAGCACTAAGAAGCTGCTGCTGCCACCTTCATGAGACAGGAAGAGGGGGGACTTCTCTTGACAAGAATTTACAAAATATCACAAAGAAGAGATTTTTTAAAAAATGATGTGGAAGGTACTTAGGTACTCCCCCCCCTCCAATCAGTTTAGATTTTAAGTCACCGAAGAGATTTATAGCTTCCGTGGCATGGACACCACCTGCTACGGACCAATTCATTGTACACATTGTACTCTGACAATAAAGGTAACAATAACTTATGGAGGAATAAAACCTGTTGCTGACAATACTCCTACCTGGAGATCCTGAAGGTATCTGCATACAATTCCAGGATAAAGTTCATAATTATTCCTGTATTTCTTGCGTGATTTCTTAAAAAATACAGGTGAAACTCGAAAAATTAGAATATTGTGCAAAAGTTCATTTATTTCAATAATGCAACTTAAAAGGTGAATCTAATATATGAGATAGACTCATTACATGCATAGTTCAAGCCGTGATGTGTCATAATTGAGATGATTATGGCTTACAGCTCATGAAAACCCCAAATCCACAATCTCAGAAAATAATATTGTGAAAAGGTTCAATATTCTAGGCTCAAAGTGTCCCACTCTAATCAGCTAATTAAGCCATAACACCTGCAAAGGGTTCCTTGGCCTTTAAATGGTCTCTCAGTCTGGTTCAGTAGGAAGCACAATCATGGGAAAGATTGCTGACCTGACAGTTGTGCAGAAAACCACCACTGATACCCTCCATAAGGAGGGAAAGCCTCAAAAGGTAATTGCAAAAGAAGTTGGATGTTCCCAAAGTGCTGTATCAAAGCACATTAATAGAAAGTTATGTGGAAGGGAAAAGTGTGGAAGAAAAAGGTGCACAAGCAGCAGGAATGACTGCAGCCACGAGAGGATTGTCAGGAAAAGGCCATTCAAAAGTGTTGGGGACTTTCACAAGGAGTGGACTGAGGCTGGAGTCAGTGCATCAAGAGCCACCACACACAGACGGATCCTGGACATGGGCTTCAAATGTCATATTCCTCTTGTCAAGCCGTTCCTGAACAACAACGTCAGAAGCGTCTTACCTGGGCTAAAGAAAAACAGAACTGGTCTGTTGCTCAGTGGTCCAAAGTCCTCTTTTCTGATGACAGCAACTTGTGCATCTCATTTGGAAACCAAGGACCCAGAGTCTGGAGGAAGAATGGAGAGGCACATACTGCAAGATGCTTGAAGTCCAGTGTGAAGTTTCCACAGTCTGTGTTGATTTGGGGAGCCATGTCATCTGCTGGTGTTGGTCCACTGTGCTTCACTGAGTCCGGGGTCAATGCAGCCGTCTATCAGGAGATTTTGGAGCACTTCATGCTTCCTTCCGCAGACGAGCTTTATGGGGATGCTGACTTCATTTTCCGGCAGAACTTGGCACCTGCCCACACTGCCAAAAGCACCAAAACCTGGTTCAATGACCGTGGGATTACTGTGCTTGATTGGCCAGCAAACTCGCCTGACCTGAACCCCATAGAGAATCTTTGGGGCAGTGCCAAGAGAAAGATGAGAGACATGAGACCGAACAATGCAGAAGAGCTGAAGGCCGCTATTGAAGCATCCTGGTCTTCCCTAACACCTCAGCAGCACCACAGGCTGATAGCTTCCATGCCACGCCGCATTGAGGCAGTAATTGCTGCAAAAGGGGCCCAAACCAAGTACTGAATACATATGCATGCGTATACTTTTCAGAGGACCGATATTGTTCTATGTACAATCCTTGTTTTATTGATTGCGTGTAATATTCTAATTTTCTGAGATTGTGGATTTGGGGTTTTCATGAGCTGTAAGCCATAATCATCCCAATTACGACAAATCACGGCTTGAACTATCTTGCTTTGCATATAATGAGTCTATCTCATATATTAACCTTTTAAGTTGCATTACTGAAATAAATGAACTTTTGCACGATATTCTAATTTTTTGAGTTTCACCTGTACATGTTTAAATAGCATAATTATGAACATTTTCATTGTTAAATTCCCTGGAATTAAAAGTCTGCCAAGAGGTTTCACTTAGGAAAATGAATAGTGCTATGCAAATTTAGTAAATAAATATCCCATTTCCCCAAAAGAACACTGTGGGAGTCAACCTTTCTGGAAATTTTCACCTCTGTGCTTTTAAAACATGAAAGTTCTCTGTTATATATAGATTACAACAAACAGAAGTGACTTCCCAAGGAGTAAACTGGTGTACCCCATTCCAGGGAGAGCCCAAGTGTGTTCCCAGTTTCATGAAAGCTCAGGGAATCAGGACCATATAAACCTCAGGGAGGCGGCTGTTCCACAGGGCAGGTGCAGCTACTGAGAAGGTCCCACAAGATGACCAGGCTTGCCAACTGGGACAAGAATCATGCTCATGCTTCCTAATCTTATTTCTTTAATATAGCAATGCTACCATATTTTCCACAACACAGACAAAAACGAATGTCTCCTAAGCTCCTTACATAATGAGGGAGAAAAAAATGAAAGAATGCAGACAAGTGTAGTTGACGTACACAGAATTTCAATTCTGTTTGAAAATGAAGATTAAGATGGGTTGATAAACCACGAAAGGCAGGAATCTTGGGGAAACTTAGACAAGGGTCGTGAACCCCAACTCTTGGAGTTTATGAAAGGCAATTTCCAAAAGCTCAGGCATGGGTAAAAGTTCAGAAAGAAAAATTTTCAGGTTTTGAAGTCAAAACGTCTTCAAATGGGAAAGTTGAGACCACCCCATGGTGAAGTCCATGGGGTTACACTGAAAAGGCAGGTGGAAGGAGAGACATCTAAGCAAGGAGTTCAACATCATTGTATCTCAGACAACAGGTAAGAGGCCAGGAAAAATGTTGTTCCCATGTTGAATCAACATAAGACGGATCCAGAAAACTGCCACCCAGTCACCTTGAAAGTCACACTTTGTGAATTTTGTGGAATCTCTTCCAAACCTCTCTCTCCCTCTTTCCAGAGTCACATCTTTTTTCTGATGCTTTCAAGGCCGTGTTGATCTGGACATGTCCCAGCACTATTTGTTAGCAGGATTCCAGAAGTGGTTTGCCTCTTTCCTAGGGCTGAGAGGGTATCACTGGCCAAAGACCATCCAGCTGGCTTCCTGCCTAAGCAGGCCTAGAACTCAGAGTCTCCTGATGTCTGAACCACGACATCGGATAGAGTCACTGGTAAATTACAGAAGCACAACGAACAAAATAGGCCATCGCTAAGAATTAGTTTAGTGCCCACTATTCTCTGAATGCTTAAGGACAAACTTGAGCACCGTCTCAAGCCTTTGCCTAATCTTGTGTGGTCAACATTTTTCTACAGACCAGATAAAGGAGCAAAGGGCCGCTTGTCCAATCTGCAAATGCAGTCATCAACTGTCGTCAGAGAGAAAATTGGAACTCCAAAAAGGCAATGCTCAACAAAGAGTTGCACAGCTTTCAGATACAAAAAACAAGGATGCAAGGGCAGGCAAAAAAAGCACAATGATCATGTGATAAATGTGAACCTATCACTCAGTGTGATGCGTTAGTAAAAATGCAGAACTGAATGAAATTAAATTTCACATGCACCAGCAAGCCTGTGGTAAATACATGCAGCTTGCTATTAAGATAAATAGCTGGAGCTCTTACCCAGGCCTGTTGGCAAGAGGAGACAAACAAGAAACCTCGCACACAAGCACATTGTTTGTTTATAATTAAAGTTCACAAGACGTGCCACACCGCATCCCTGGGCATGAGTTTTGTTCTATTCTGTGGGAACCCCGTCTGCCTCCTTATTGGCAGGGCCTCTTTTTTAAGAGCACTGGAAACAGAAGCAGACCCTTAGAACCACCAGGAAGGCGAATGGATTAGACATGGGAAGCTTGTGCAGCTGGGGGTGGGGGGGGGGGACTTTCAGACGCAACAGAGTCTTCAGGTATCTGAAAGAACTGCATCCAGGAAAAGGAGACCATTCTGAACAGGGGAGCCTAACCAGAGCAAGGAAATCAACCTTGGTTAATTGCCCCACTAAAGAAGATAGGCATGCCTAAATTAAGGTGGTTGAAGACAACCCTACATAGGTGCTCAGGGGGCTTTTTAAAGTAAAAAGATACTCATATCAGCGGAGATCTCTGAAAGAGAATTTACAGAAACAAGGGACAAAAGAGAGTTAATCAAAACCATGGAGAACTTTCTTACAAGCATGAAATTGCCTTCAATAAGATGGGCATCCATATAAGTTTGATTAGAAAGTTTATTTTATATTTCATATTCCTTAACTTCCCATCTCCCTCCCTTCATCAATAAAGTTGGTAAATAAAACTAAGATGTTTCTTTTGAATAAGAAGAGATAAAATACTATTCTGATCAGGGGAGGATCCAGGTGAGAGACTTTCGGAGAAACGAGAGGCCAAAGCAAACCGTGACCTGCTGTGGGAGGCAGTTCAAGCAAGAGGCACCTGCACAGGGCTGCCTTGCAAAAATCGCTCCCAAGTGTTTGGCGGGGAAGGCGACAGCAATGGAGATCGACCTCACCCCATTCTTGCAGTCAACGGCCGGTCGCGGCCTGCAGAAGCAGCAAGAAAGCCGCTTTCCTGACCCCGACACGGGAGCAGAGACCGCTCCCCTCCGCCCTGGAGCGACCCGGGCACCAACCTTAGTGGACGGAAGGCCTTTCGGCCCCAGGAGGGAAATGCCCGCGGAGAGCCTCGGGAGCCCCGAGCTTGCGGGTGGCGCCCGTCCCGACCCGACCCACCCGCGGAACCGAGGGAACGGAGGAAGGCCCGGGCGGGCGAGGGCCCTGCGCCGAGGCGTCACCTACTTTTTGGCGAGGACGTCCGCCGTGGGCACCGGGCTGTCCTCGGCGTCGCTGCCGGCGTCCTCCTCCTTCAGGCTGCCGGGAGAAGAAGGGAAGCTCGTCGGGGGCTCAGTGGGGCGGCGGCACTCCCGAGCGACCCCCCCCCCCCCCCCCGCTCGGCCTCTCCTCCTCCTCCTCCTCCCCGCCCCCCCGCACCTGTGGTAGGGCGTGCTGGGCTCGTCGATCTTCATCAGCCCGTAGTCCTTCCCGGGCGGGTGGTAGGTGGCCAGGATGTTCATCTCGTCCCACTTCTGCGTCTTCTTCCTGGCGGGGGGAGGAGGAGGAGGGCCGTGAGCGAGGAGAGACAGGCGCCCACCCCCCGCCCGGGGCTCCCCCCAGCCCCGCCCCACCCACCCGTGCTCCTCGCCGCGGCTCTCGCTGCTCGGCTGCGCTTGCAGGAGCGGCCCGGCGGGCGGCAGCGGCAACGCCTGCGAGAGAGCCTCGGAGTCGGCCAGGCCCCGCCCGCTGCTGCCGCCGCTGCCAGAGCGGTTCTTCAGGATGCCCTTCACGGGCCTCCCGCCGTCCGCCGAGCCCCTCGCCTCCATCGCCGCCGTTTCCCGGCCCGTATGCGCGCCCCGCGCATGCGCGCCGGCCGGTGTCGTCACAAGGGCGGGCCGGAGGGTCACGCGCGCTTGCGGAACGCGCCTCCGCCGGCCGGGTTCCGGTATGGGCGGGGCTTGGCGGCTGCCGTGCTGGGCGACCGGGTCCCGCCTCCGCTGCCCCCCCCCCCCCGCGAGTCCTCGGTCGCCTACAACCTCGCCGGTGTCGCCCTTCTCCCCGCCTTCCTTCCTTTCCTGGGGAGTGGAGGGGTTGAAGCCCCCCCCGTTAAGACGGGCGGGCTTCAAACCCCCCCAGATACGCAGCCAGGCGGGACGGGTGCGGGGCCCTCGCGGAGGGGGAAGTGAGCCTCCAAGGAAGGGGCTCCTCGAGGTGCTGTGGCTGCTCCCAGAAGTCCCCGTCGTCGTCGTCGCTCATTCCCCCCGCCTGGCTGGCTGCGTGCCTGGGCGGTTGTGGGAGTCTGAACGGGGAAGGGAGGCGGGGCAAGAAGTGGGGTCTGCCGGGGAAAGAAGCCCCCGCGGAGTCTCCGGTCTGAGGGCGGATGAAAAGGAAAAGGAGGCGGCCCCCCTTGCCCTCCTCTGCCCCCGCCCCCCCCCCCCCCCCCCCCCCCCCCCCGCCCCGGAGCTGCGTGACTGGGGCACCCAGGAGCCAATTCTTGGCCTGGGACAGGAGCTGCAGGCGCTGCCACCCCACGGCTGAAGGGATGCCAGGCCCGACTGGATAATCTCCCTGTCTCCTGGGGGGAGGGCAGGGCAGGGCAGGAGGCAGCCCATCAATGCAGCTTCCCCCTCCCCCCATCCCATGGCTGCTTCTAGCAAAGCCCCTTCCTAATGTGTGTGAGGGCAGAGGGGTGAGGAGGGGTGAGATTTGCACCATCCCACCAAAAAGAAGCAGGGTCGTCTCCCCCCCCCCTCCAGATTTGGCTTCACTTATAAGAGGGCAACCATTTCAGCCAAGCTTCAACAGCATGTTCTGCTTACTTTTGCAATCAACCACATGCGTAGGCCCAGTATGTACCGGCTTCTCTATGTTTCTAAATCCGGGAACTGAAAAGGCCCACAGGTCATAGTGCCAAAGTTTTATTTCTCTCAGCAGCTGAATTAGTCCTCCATCCCAAAGAAGCATCAGAGACATGGGTGGGGATGGAGGGAGAGGCCTTCCTGGCTGGACCTCTTAATGATTAGCAGGTGGGGGCCATGCTCAGGGAGGCAACTCATCTGTCCTGTTGCCCAGGTCGTTGGCAAAGGTGTTGAATAATGCTGATCTCAAGGCAAAGCCCTCGGCTGCTGGGCTCCAACCTGAGACAGAGCCACCAACGCTGGCTGAGTGGGTTCTGTGCCTTCCTGAGTACACTTTAATGCTGAAATCTGTCCATTTCTGTGGCACCTCAACCGAAATTTGTTCCATAAAGCAGTCACTTTGTTAAAGGAGATTTAAATCTCCCTTGCATGACCAATTTTTGGCAAAAAAAAAAATAGCAATCACGGTATCTTTAACATGCTTACTACCTTTTAACTCAGCTCTCCTTTAATGCAGGTCTGTGGGCAGAAGTACATGTTACACCAACATAAAAGAGTGGCTGCAAACGCAATCTGCGGGAGCGTGTGTGTGTCTTGGTACTTGCAAGGCCTCCTTCAAAGGTTCTCACCAGACAGGCTTCTCCCCTTGTGGGAGGGCTACACTATACTCAACAGACCTGCAGGAGATGAAAAGTCCAAGATGCCAAACCTGTGACGTGCACTGAACCCAACCGGCTGGACTGGGCTGAATTCAACCTGCAGGCAGTTAAGGGCCCCTGCCTCTAGCCCTCTTTCAGCTTGGCCAAAGGTCTTCAAACTTGGCAAGTTTAAGTCTTGTGGACTTCAACTCCCAGAATTCCTCTTCCAGTCATGTTAACTCAGGAGTTGAAGTCCACAAGTCTTAAAGCTGTCAAGTTTGAAGACCCTGGTTTTTTTCCTAATCCTGCCTTTCTGCCACCAAGATGGCGGCGCGTTCACACGCAACAGCCCCGAGCTCCCGGTGTTAATGTGTGGTGTTTGGAATGATGTGTGTATGGATGTGTGTGCACAGTGTAGAGCAAGGAGCAAAATTTGCCTACACATGGAGCATAGAGCTGCTAAACATCGGGCTCGCAAGTCAATCCGGGATTACCAGCGATTTTCAGCTGTCCAACAACATACCGAACTGCATAGCGAGGCTTCCAGGATTTCCATGGATTGTCGTTGGGTCAGGGAGCTGCTGGCGAAGGCAAAAGCGAAAGAAACAAAAGCACAGCTGTAGAGCTGGTCTGTTGGCTCAGCTCCAAAAGCAGCCCCATAGACTAGCGCTGGCAAGTGTCTTTTTGAGCAACACCAGATCCCTCCTCCACAAAATTGATGAATTAGAGCTGCAGATGGCAGCAAGCAGGCTTCTGTGCGAAAGCTGTGTGATGATTGTAACAGACCTGGTTACACCCAGGTGTACCGATGTGGCAGTGGAGTTGACAAGCCGAGTCATTTATCGCTCTGATAGAAATGGTGACTGGTAAGAGCAAGCCTGTTTAAGACAGTTCTCCCTAAGTTTGTGCAGTACGTGCAATTTTCCACCAGAAGGAAGAACACTTCAGACCGTGTGTAATCTGAAACAGGCATATAGAGTAATCCCCCTCCCCCACCTGGGTACATCCGACCAGCTTTCACTTCTGTCATGCCCTAAGTATGTCCCTCTCTGGAAAAGAGCTTAAGCCAGTCATGAAAATGGTTAAAATCTGGCCAGAGGGTGATCTCAGTCAGCTGCAGGACTGTTTTAAAACCACTGAATGGAGAGTATGTGAACATCAAGTCCTGGAGGCAGGGCTGGCGTCATGGCGGTACGACGTGATCTTGAGCTCCAAGATCGCTGTTGATATCTTCATTGCTGGACGGTCCTTTTGGACCTAAACCGTCCTGAAGAGATGGTGACAGTAAAGAGCGCATCCTGTCGATCCCAGGGACACCGCCAAGTCCCTGGTAGATCCAGCAGAAGCTCTTTTTGCCGGCAGCAAAAAGGCAGCCATTAAAGCTGCTGAAGCTGCGACAGCTCCGAACAGAAGGGAACAGAAAGTGAAAGTGTGTCAGTTTGGTGAGATGATTTTTTTTTAACTTTATGATTTGAGAGAACACCCTAGGAAAAAGAAATAAATTGTAAAATTGAAGACAGAAGAGGCTAAGCAGCGATTTTAAACAGGAAGTCAAAATTAGTGTTTTTTTTTCTCTTGCTGGATTGTTTATGCTTTTTTACTCAGACTATACTGGTTTTTTAATCTTTGTTTTCTTTTCCTCTTTTTCTTTTTTGCTCTCATATTACTTTATGTTAGAGATTCCTTTTTAATTTTTCTCTTAAGCTTTTTAAATTAATTTTTCGCTCTTTAAAATACTTTTAATTCTTTTGTTTTGGTAAAGGAGGGGGGAAGTGAAAGTAGAGGAAAATATGTAACACTGCCACCCAGAGGCTTGGAAACATTGTTTTTCTTTCACTTTCTGAGACCAGACAAAGCTGAGAAAGAACTGAGGCTTTTCTTCAAGGACTTTGAGCCTGTTTGACAGAGGGAAGAGTATGGAAGAGTGTTATTACAGGTGCTCTTCTGGGTTTCTCTCAATAGCTGGAGTCTGGTGTTGAAAGAAAGTTTGGAATTTACAGAAAGAAGATTACAAGACCCTAGAAAAGAGAGTTATAAAAATTGTTTGGAACTTAACAAAAAGCCTTAGAGGTGCAGTGTGTTTTTCTCTTTTCTCTTATTGATAGAAAGTTGTTGTTGTTTTACTTTGGGCTTATCCTCTACTTACCCCCCTCCTTATTAGCTATTTATTCTTGGTGGACATTTGGGATTTTGGCCTTTTGATATTTACTTTTGTCTCCTTTTTTAAAGTTTATTTTTATAAAAATATTTTTTCCTGTACCTTATTGTTATTAGTATTGTTTTTCTTTTTCTTTCCAAGTTAATAGTTCTTTGTTTTCCTTTTCTCTTCCATTTTTTATTTCCTTTTTTATATTGGATGTATTTGTGGCTCCATTTCTGGGGTTTTTGTTTTTTTTGTATCTAGACTCTATGGAATTTTTGGGCCTATTCTATTTTGACCAATTGGATTAAGGTGTTGAAGAATCTGAAGAAATTTATTTTTTCTTCCACTTTTTATATTGATTGACCTGACAATTTTCCTTTTCCTTTTTTTTTTTTCAACAATTAATCAATTGATTGGATTAAGGTGTACAAGAACCTGAAGAAATTTTTCATTTACTTTGTTTTCCTTTTTCCTTTGCTATTTTTACTTGGAATTATAATTGTTCAATATACGAGTGGATTAAGGTCTAGAAGAACCTGAAGATTTTGAATTGTTTGTAACCTTTTAATTTTTTGTGAAATGAGCAGGAAACTAACAGCGGCTGGTTCTTCAATCCCTACTTCTTCCTCTTCACCATCTGGAGGACAACAATCAATGCAGACGATGTTACAAGAAAAAGAACAGGAAAAGGTGACGGTGCAGATGATTATGCAAGGAATTCAAAACATACAAGCAAGAACAGAGAATATTGAAAAGAGAACAGAGAACATTGAACAAAGAACAGAGAACATTGAACAAAGAACAGGAAAAACAGAGTGGAAAAAGTGGAGAACATTCAACAAATGATGATGAAGTATGAGGATAGACTCCAAAAATTGAAGAAGATAAACAAAGAGATAAGAAGATTGGAGATATTGATGGCAGATTAAGCGTGGTTGAGCAAGACGAGTGGGATGCTGGGATGGGAGATCGACAGATCAGAATTCTATCTTAGATTCCAAAATATAGAGGAAGAAAAGGGACAAAATTTGGCAGAAATAATGATAGAAATTCTGGCTGAGGCATTGGAAATAACCAAAGGGAAGAGGATGGATGGAATAGATGAGGTCTTTCGAGTTTTTACAAGATATGCAATGAGAAATAAATTGCCAAGAGAAGTTCACATTAGATTTACAAAGAAAGCTATTAAAATGCAAATATTACAGGT